TTATAATTTGCACATGGTGTGTGTGTGTGTGTGTGTGTGTGTGTGTGTGTGTGTGTGTGTAGCAGGAGTTATAGACAGTTGTGAGTTGCCAGATTTGGGTGCTAGGAACCAAACTTAGGTCTTCTGCAAGAACAGCAAAAGCTCTTAACTGCTTAATTCCACTCCCAATTTGCACATTTCTTGAAGGCATTTAGTGTCAATTTCTATGTGTAATACTATCTGTATTTATACTATGTATAAATGTATGTAGTATACTATGAGTATACTATCTGGTTTTAAAATCCAATTACAGCCAGGTGAGGCAGCATACACCTTTAATCCCAGCACGCAGGAAGTAGATCTTTGAGGTGGATCGCTGAGTTTGAGGCCAGCCTGGTCTACAAGAGCTAGTTTGAGGACAGCTAGGGCTGTTACACAGGGAAATCCTGTTTCAAAAGACAAAAAAAAAAAAAAAACAACAACAACAACAAAAAAAAACCAAAAAACCAAAAACCCTAATTACAAGAATGTAGTACTAAATTTCCCCCCTTTAAAATATCTCCTGAAGGAATCTTTAACATATCTATTCAGGAGTCTACAAAACAGTGATTAGCAGGTAAAGACGCTTACTGCCAAGCCTGGAAACCTGAGTTTGGGTCCCAGGATTTACACTGTTGAAGCAGCCCAAACTTCTGCAACTTTTTCTCTGACCTCTATATGTGAGGCAGTATACACATAATGTGGGATGTCCTTTTGTATATGTATTACTTTTATTGGCTATTGAATAAAGCCATTTTGGCCAATGGCTTAGCAGAATATAGCCGGGCTGGAAGAGATATATAGAGAAGACAGAGTCAATGTAGCTGCCGAAGGAGAAAGATGCCACAGCCTCATGGCAATACATAGAAGAATAGAAATGGGTTAATTTAAGAAAAGAGCTCGCTAGGAGTACACTTAAGCTATTGGCCAAACAGTGTTGTAATTAATATAGTTTCTGTGTGATTATTTGGTCTGAGTGACCAGGAAACAAAAGAGCAGTCTCTGTCTACAAATGGTACCACAACATGGGGAAACCACACCCACATAAAAGCCGAGAGAGCTTGGGAAGGAATTCTGGACACAAAGAACAGAGTTAAGCACAGCTTCTTGGTAGCTGCATTTTTTTTTCAGATAGACACTGTTTGCTGGTGGCAAGCAGAAGCACAGCTCCTTTAAGAGAAGTCTTTCTGACTCAGTGTTAGCAGCAAAAAATTGTATGGCTTCTTTAAGATCCAGTTACCTGGTTTGTGCTGGCAGAATGAACTCTGACTCTTTCTGGAGGTCTGTGAGCAACGTGTTACAAATTGCTTAATGGTGATGTAGACCCGCTACTTCCCTGGAGCTGGGGTGTTGTGCTTGACTTGCAGATGTGGTGAACATACCCTCTGCCATGTTGAACATGCAGAACAAACAGGCAGGGTCAGAGTTAGGTCTAGCCATGCCCGTTTAGCATTTAAAAAAAAAGCACTCCTGGTCAGAAGATGATTACAGATATGCAATAAAGCAGATTCAGATGAAAAAGCCCTCTAAATGGGTCACAGTGTTAGATAAATGTATGTAGGCTTAAGAAAGAGAAGAAAAATAGTAAGACAGTTATAGAAAGAAATAGGTGTAAAAAATGAACCAAAGTCTTTAAAGAGACAGTAAAAGTAATATAAAAGAGTACAATCATAGATTAAAGGAGTAAAGAAAAATAAGCCATGTAAAGAAGGAATATACACAGAGAGTCTGGATTATGTATATTATTGTGCTTTCTTTAAATTTTTGACTGCAGAGAGATATTTAATTCTGGAAGCTGCTAAGTTAAAGCAACATAAAGTTATCTTGACTTCAAAATTTGGGTCTCAGGATATGTTGCTTTGGAAAAGAGGTTCTACTTCTGTTTCCACAGAAAGTGAGAACCTGTGGAATCCTTCCAGGCTAATGTGGTTTGATGGAACTAGACTCCATGAAACCTGAAAATACTTTACCCAACAAGCATAAGAAAGCAGTTAGGAGAAAACAATGATCAAATTCCCAAAATAATTTTTATAAATGTATGTTTTCATTTAAAGGGGATATGATATAGAGATGAATACTTTACTTTGGTGTGGACTTTGGTGAAGAGCAGGGTAGGTTCTCCCCAGAGCAGCATCCGGTCGGGGCAGAGCCCGCTCTTATCCTCATGTCCTCAGTGGTAACATGAGCCGTGGACATCAACACGGACATGACCCTTGGCAGCAACCCAGATCCAGATAATACCATGGCCCAGGATGGCGGTGCAGGTCACTCAGATCTGTACGGTGGTGGCAGGCAGCATGGCCTTCAGACAATAACGGGGCCCTAGGTGCCCCCAGACTCCAGATGTCCACATGGCCCTTAGCGGCAACATGGGCCATGGATATCAACACAATCCCCAACTGAAGTTAAAGGACAGCCAAAGCTACACAAAGAAATCCTGTCTCAAAAACCCTGAGCCCCCCTAATAGTCTGGGGTTTTTTAAATTATTATTTTCCTATTTCACGTATTGCAAAAGCAAAAAAAAAAATAGCCCCTTCCTGGGAATGCCCCATTTTCTGTGATCTTTAGAGAGATGGTTTTCAAGACTTTCTTGGGACCTCATTATGTCTGAACTCGGAGGCTTTTAAAGTTCTGTTTTGGCAAGAACACAGCTAGTTAAAGAGGATGAGTGAGCATGACAGCATAGAAGTTCAGAGAGTCACTGCAAATTAGCTCTCCAGACTAACTTCTGATGAGGAGGAAGGAAGATATTTAAAAACACACAAACACAAAAGGAAAAGAAAAGAAAACTCTAAAATGGAAGGATAAAATAAAATAAAAGTTTGAGTGAGTAGAAAGGTTCTTGCTTGTAGAAAAAGACTCAAGAAAGAATTTCCTTCAAGTATGAGCCACATTTAATCTTTGCCAGGAGGCCGGGACACAGAGACCAGGGAGGAACCGTTGAGATCAGCCCTCTAGGAGCTCCAGCGGCTCCAAGGGAAGGAACCTCTCCAAAACTGCAAGCCGTGACACTTTAGACAAAGCACAGAAGGATCTAAATTTAAAGCATCTTGTGGTCAATTGACAAATATGATAAATTTATATTCAATCCTGAAGGGAGAAACTAATTATAGCCAGCAGTTACAATGTGTTTCTTATGAGTTGCAAGCCCTCTATTTATGATCCACAAGAGCCCCATGAAACCATTCCCACGTTCTGTGCAGGGAAACGAAGGGACAGATGACTAACCCACAGAGTCACACAGTGTGCAGGTAGGGGAGGTGAGCATCGGAGTCTACCTTTGATCATCATGTTATTTCACTGAATGGGAGCTAGATTGACTAGGGGCTGATTTTAAGTGGGGATAAGGAGGCTCCATCATCATAAGGCAACTATTGAGACACTGGGTTTGGTATAGTAAGAGCACATTTCTCTAAGCCAAAACATCTGGTTTCAAATCGCCGCTTGGCTGCTTAACGGTCCCACGGCTTCGGGTTAGTTCATTTTCTCTGTCTCACTTTGCTCATCGGTGGAAGAAGGCTAATGACAGCGCTGGCTTCAGATAATGCTGTCAGGACCAAGCACGAAAGATTCAAATATGCAGAAAACAGTCACTTTTCGTAAAGGGACTTACGTCAAAGGCAGGGTTGTTCTCCTGAATTCTAGAAAAACTCCCATAGGAAAATACAAAGCTCACCTCGACGTCTATGTCCACCCTTCATGAGAACTAGCCCAAATTCGTTTAAGAGCAAACAGAAACAATTCCCCTTCAAATCAGTGGTGTGATGTTCATGGTATAAGGAGGAAATGTAAGGAGGAAAAGGGCGCCTAGGGAGGGTGTGCTGGTCTGAAATTCCAGCCCGTAAGAGGCTGAGCCAGAGGGTTTGTGACTTTGAGACCAGCATGGCGTCTCTAAACAAAAGTACAGCAACTAGAGCTGCTCTCTTCAATCCAGAGACCCTTTGACGTTCATTTTCTCCTGATGTCAAGGGGACTGGTGTTAGGCTCTGTAAAAGCCAGACAGCATTAACTAGAAGTGCCAGTTAGCCATTTCCCAGGACAGTCAAGCATGCATGCATCCAGTAACTTTAAAAACCGTGAAATGTTCAGAACCACGGTGCCCTGCAGCAAAGCCCTGCTTGTCCTGTTGTACCTGTGATTCTGCCATTGATAATGATGGTTGACTCAAGCGCACGCTGCAGGGCTAAGCACTTAGTAAACACTTGGCACTTATTGTCTCATTGACTCATAGCAACCCAGTGAGGTGGGAAAAGCCAATGTAGGTAAGAGGTTTCAAATGACTTGCCCAGTTTATAAAACCAATGGAGGTCAGAACCAGAGGCAATACAAACAAGCCCCCATACCTAGTCCCTGATATCAGTTCTCCAGTTGGCAAGAGATAACTAGCTAGAATGTTAAAGCTGAAAAGAGCCTCATGAAGCCTGCAAGCTAGTTTCCCAAAGTCTGGTCCATACAGCCTGTCTGGGTATAGAGATAACCACTGAAGATTGCAATGTTTCCAAGGTGTGGTGGCAAATGCCTGTAATAGCAGTACATTTGTCATTGGGAGGTGGAGTCAAAAGGATCTAGAATTCAAGGTCAGTCTCCCCTACATAAGAGGTCCAGGCTAACCTAAGTTATAGGGAACTCCTCCCCTTCCCAAGGTTATTATGAGCATGATTTTGTGCCAGTTCATAGTGGGAAAATATAGCTAATACATTAAAATGGGACATCACAGTAACAATGTGTTAATATGAAAACAGAACACAAGGACAGCAAAAAATAGCTCTTAAATCACTAAAAAGCTCAAGAAACACAAACCTCTTCCAACGTTCTTTTATGACAGCTGCATGTGGTCACATTCTCTATGACATGCCGGTTGATTTCCTAAACCTCACCCACATTACCTTCATCTAAAACAAAGGATCTGCAAACTCTTAATAATGAAGGCAACTCTTTCTACCTACAGGGAAAAGCAAAAAATGGAAAAGGTTACCTGCTCACTTTTCTGGATTCTTTCTGTGCTCACAAGAATTTGGCTGAAATCAGTCTCTAGAAGGCCCCTGCCAGCTGGACTCTTCTTTGTTAACTTTGGAGTGATATACCCGGAACAGTGTTTGAGTCATGGCTCCTGTAGGATCTGCTCAGGTCCCAAGCCACAGACAATTGTTCTGAAGAACAAGAATGTGATTTGCCAGTCAAAATAGACCGATTGCAAAGGCAGAATTTAAAAACACTTTTTTTCCATGTGAATGACTGAGAAAGAAATGATATATTGTCTATGAGTAAGGTAATTGGTTTCTTCCGTGCTTGAAAATAGTTAACTTCTGCAAACCCCAGCATGCACCATAGTCATATTCCAAGATGGTCATGCAGTCTCAAATTTGTGAAGAGAAATGTCCAGGCAGACTCTTGGCATTCCCCCAAACCTTAACTCCCGCAGAAAGTCTCCTATTTCCTAGGCATATCCTCATGTCAAAGATACTAACTACTTTCACCTCTGTCTATTTGAATCTGAAAAAAAAGTGTGTCTAGGAGCTGAGCTGCAGAGCTGGCTCAACAGTTCATAGCACTTGATGTCCTCCCAGCAGACGGGAGTTCAATTCCCAGTACATACATGGCAGCCATAACTGTCTGTAACTCCATTCTTAGAGGATCTGATACCCTTGCCTGGTTTCTGTGTGCACTGAACACACATGGTGCACAGACATGCATGCAGAATTCTGTGAACATAAAATAATTAAATTTTTAAAAATGTGTATCTACCCCACCGTCCATATATCATGCTCCTGTGACTGGGGTTAACAAAGGCAAAGCAAGACGCCAATGCCAGGTGTTATCTGGCAACACTCTCTGGCAACTCTGACTTTACAAGTTTTCTCATGCAATCATAGAAGAAAACTTTCCCAACCTAAAGAAAGATATGCAGATGAAGATACAAGAAGCTTACAGAACACCAAATAGACTGGATCAAAGGAAAAAGTTCCCTTGCCACATAATAATCAAAACACTAAACATACAGAATAAAGAAAGAATATTAAGAGCAGCAAAGGAAAAAAGGTCAAGTAACACATAAAGGCAGACCTATCCGAATTACACCTGACTTCTCAATAGAAACAATGAAAGCCAGAAGGTTGTAGTCTTGCGTAATGCAGACATTAAGAGACCATAGATGCCAGCCCAGACTACTATACCCAGCAAAACGTTCAGTAACCATAGACGGACAAAATAAGATATTCCATGACAGAACCAGATTTAACCAATACCTAGCCATAAACTCAGCCCTACACTAAGTACTAGAAGGAAAACTCCAACGCAAGGAAGTTAACTACATCCACAAAAACACAGAATAGATGATCTCACAGCAGCAAATCCCAAAGAAGGGAAAAATACACAAAATAACATCACCAACAATGAGAACTAAAATAACAGGAGCTAGCAATCATTGGTCATTAATATATTTTAATATAAATGGACTCAACTCACCTATGAAAAACACAGGTTAACAGACTGGATACAAAAACAGAACCTATCCTTCTGCTACATACAAAGAACATACCTCAACCTCAAAGACAGACACTGCATCATAGCAAAGAATTGGGAAAAATTTTTCCAGTTAAATGGACCTAAGAAACAAGCTGGTGTAACTATCCTAATATCTAACAAAGTAGACTTCAAACTAAAATCAATCAAAAGAGACAAAGAAGGACATTTCATATTAGCCACAGGAAAAATTCATCAAAAGGAAATCTCAATACTAAACATCTATACTCCAAATACAAGGGCACCCTCATATGTAAAAGAAACACTACTAAAGCTTAAATCACACATTAAACCCCACACACTAATAGTGAGAGACTTCAACACTCAACTCTCACCACTGGACAGGTCTATCAGACAGAAATTTAAATGAGAAATAAGGGAGCTAACAGATGTTATGACACAAATGGACTTAACAGACATCTATAGATCATTCCATTCAAATATAAAAGAATATACCTTCTCAGCACCTCATAGAACCTTCTCAAAAAATGACCGCATACTAGGTAACAAAGCAAACATTCACAGATACAAAATTGGAATAACCCCATGTATCTTATCAGATCATCATGGTTTAAAACTAAAATTCAACAACAACACTAATTTCAGAAAGTTCACAAATTCATGGAAATTGAACAATGCTTACTTGAATCATCAATGGGTCAAGGAAGAAATAAAGGAAGAAATCAAAGACTTCCTAAAATTCAGTGAAAATGACCACACTACATGCCCAAATTTATGGGACACAATGAAAGCAGTGTTAAGAGGAAAATTCATAGCACTAAGTGCCTACATTAAAAAAAAAAACTGGAAAAATTCCATACTAGTGAGTTAATAGAACACCTGAAAACTCTAGAACAAAAAGAAGCAAACTCACCCAGGAGGACTAGATGGCAGGAAATAATCAAATTGAGAGCTGAAATCAACCAAACATAAACAAAGAAAACAATACAAAGAATCAATGAGACAAAGAGTTGGTTCTTTGAGAATATCAACAAAATAGACAAACAACTTTCTAAACTAACCAAAAGGCAAAGAGAGAATATCCAAATTAACAAAATCAGAAATGAAAAGGGGGACATAACAACAGACACAGAGGAAATTCAGAGAATCATTAGGTCATATTTTGAAAACCAGTACTCCTCAAAATTGGAAAACTTGAAGGAAATGGACAATTTTTTGGACAAATAACTTACCAAAATTAAATCAAGGCCAGATAAACAAATTAATTAGATTTTTAATTGCTAGAGAAATAGAAAGAGACATCAAAAGTCTCCCAACCAAAAAAAGTCAAGGGTCAGATGATTTCAGCACAGAATTCTACAAGATTTTCAAAAAAGAACTAATACCAACACTACTCAAATTGTTCCACACAATAGAAACAGAAGGAACACTGTCAAACTCTTTTTATGAGTCTACAATTACCCTGATGCCAAAACCACATGAAAACATTAGTAAGAAAGAGAATTACAGACCAATCTCACTCATGAACATTGATACAAAAATACTCAATAAAATATTGGCAAACCAAGTTCAAGAACACATCAAAAAAATCATCCACCATGATCAAGTTGGCTTTATCCCAGAGATGGAGGGATTGTGCAACATACAAAAATCTCTTAACGTAATCCACCGTATAGACAAACTAAAAATAAAAACACATGGTTATCTCATGAGATAATGAAAAAGCCTTTGACAAAATGCAACATCCCTTCAGGATAAAGGTATTGGAGACAGCAGAGATACAAGGAACATACCTAAACATAATTAAGGCAATATACATCAAGCCAACAGCCAATATCAAATTAAATGGAGAGAAACTCAAAGTGATCCCACCAAATTCTGGAACAAGATCTGGTTGTCTGCTTTCCACATCTATTCAATATAGTTCTTGAGGTCCTAGCTAGAGCAATAAGACAGCAAAAGGAGATCAAGGGGATTCAAATCAAAAAAGTCAAACTCTCACTATTTGCTGATGAAATGATAGTTTACATAAGCGACCCCTAAAAATTTTACCAAGGACCATCTACAACTCATAAACATTTTTGTAATGTAGCAGGATACAAGATTAACTTGAAAAAGTCAGTAGCCCTCCTGTACACAGATGATAAATGGGCTGAGAAAGAAATTAGAGAAACATCTCTCTTCACAATAGCCACAAATAACATAAAATATCTTGGAGTAACTCCAACCAAACAAATGGAAGACCTGTATGATAAGAACTTTAAATCTTTGAAGAAAGAAAATAAAGAAGACACCAGAAAATGAAAATATCTCCCATGCTCTTGGGTAGCTAGAACTAACATAGTAAAAATGGCAATCTCACCAAAAGTAATCTACAGATTCAATGCAATGCCCATCAAAATCCCAGTAAAATTCTTCACAGACCTTGAAAGAACTAAACTTCATATGAAAAACAAAAAACTCAGGATAGTACAAGCAATCCTGTACAATAAAGAAACTTCTGGAGGCATCACAATCCCTGACTTCAAACTCTACTACAGAGCTACAGTGCTGAAAACAGCTTGGCACTGGCATTAAAACAGACAGGAGGACCAATGGAACCGAACTGAAGACCCAAATATCAATACACATACCTACAAACACCTGATTTTTGACAAAGAAGCAAAAATACATAAAATGGAAAAAAGAAAGAATATTTAACAAATGGTGCTGGCATAACTGGTTATCAACATGTAGAAGAATGAAAATAGATTGATATCTAAAGCCTTATAGAAAACTCAAGTCCAAATAAATCAAATACCTCAACATAAAACCAACCACATTGAATGAAGCTCATAAAAGAAAAGGAGGAAGTACACTTGAACACCTTGGCACAGGAGACCACTTCTTAAATATACCCCCAGCATCACAGATATTGAAAGAAATAATTAACAAATGGGACCTCCTGAACTGGAGAAGCTTCTGTAAAGCAAAGAACATGGTCAACAAGTCAAAACAGCAGCCTACATAATGTAAAAGATCTTCACCAACCCCACATTAGACAGAGGGCTGATCTCTAAAATAAACAAAAAACTCAAGAAATTGGTCATCAAAAGAACAAATAATCCAATTTAAAAATTGGAGTACAGACCTAAACAGAACTCTCAGCAGAAGAATCTAAAATGTCTGAAAGACATTTAAAGAAATATTCAACATCCTTAGCTATCAAAGAAATGCAAATCAAAACAACTCTGAGATTCCATCTTACACCTGTAAGAATAGCCAAGATCAAGAACACTGATGACAACTTATGCTGGAGAGGTTGTGGGGGGAAAGGAAACACTTCTGCATTGCTGGTAGGAATGCAAGCTGGTACAACCTTTGGATCTCAGTGTGGCAATTTCTCAGAAAATTAGGAAACAATCTTCCTCAAGACCCAGTAATACCACTTTTAGGTATATACCCAAAGGATGCTCAATCATACCACAAGGACATGTGCTCACCTATGTTCATAGCAGCATTTTTTGTCATAGCCAGAACCTGGAAACAACCTAAATGCCCCTCGACTGAAGAATGGATAAGGAAAATGTGGTGCATTTACACAATGGAGTACTACACAGCAGAAAAAATAACGACATCTTGAAATTTGCGGGCAAATGGATGGATCTAGAAAACATCATATTGAGTGAGGTAACCCAGACCCAGAAAGACAAATATCATATGTACTCATTTCATAAGTGGCTTTTAGACATAAGGCAAAAAAAGCAGCCTACAATTCATAATCCCAGAGAACCTAGACAACAAAGAGGAGAGAGATACATACATGGTTCTAATGTAGATGAGAAGAAGAAAAAGACAAGAACTCCTGATTAAATTGGAATCATGGGGACCATGGGAGAGGGTAGGAGGGGAGGGGAAGTGAGAGGAAAGGAGAAGAGCAGAGAAAAATATATAGTCCAATAAAAACACTTTTTAAAAAAGATAATACAGAAATAAAAAAGGAAAGAAGTCCAGAGGCAAAAGGTAATTGGGATAATTTAAGAAAAGCTGACAAGAAAGAAGCCAAGCTAAGGTCAGCTATTCATAACTAAGAATAAGCCTCCGTGTATGATTTATTTGGGAGCTGGATAGTGCCCACCACCCACAAAGCTAAAGAATAAAAAGAGTAAAACAACAAAAAAACCAAAACAAACAAACAAACAACAACAAAAAACAAAACCCAGGTGTGATTTGGTAGACAGATTTGATTAAAACCAAAAGATTTTTCTGAATGAAAAACAAAGGTAGGGCCTAAGAAGGTGAAAACCTACAGTAATGGGTGCAGGCAAGTGTTCAGAACCATGGGTCCATAGCCAACTGGTCACTGACAGTCTCCAGGCACAAGCTAGGCAACTTGTGGTTGTAGCTGTAGGCACTTCTGAGAATCAAAATGGTAGAGGGTTAATTTTCTACCTAACTTGGTTAGTGGTCAGTCTAATTGAAACCCATCAGAAAATATGTTATTACCAAAGTGATGTCATGATTTCCCAAATCAGGGAGCTGGTCTGTGCCTTGCTGGATTTGCCTTTCCTCTCCTAGGGCACTAATCCTTGGCTTCGAGGCCCAGTTTTTCTGCCAGAGGAGCTGCAAAGAGAAAATATTCATTATCAAGGGAAGAAAATCAGGTGGGATTTCTACATCCTCTGTGGAGGTAAGGTTTTTGTCACTAACTGGAACAAGAAGAGCAGAGTGATTGGGAAAAATACTACGCCCACATTCCCAACAAATGGCTGTTTGGAAGTCTCACCCAGGAAAAGACTTTCTGCCCAGGATCCTCTTTGTGGACTAGAGGCTGCAGCTGGCTGTTTTGTTACAGAGGTGTCTCACATCCGCTGCTTGCTTACTGTCTTAGACTTTTCCTCCTGCTTGCTGTATACTTAATAAACTCAAATAAATTCTAAACAAACAAAAGCAAACAAAATGACGGCCGTAGATCGTTCTCCATAGCGAACACAGAAGATGGTAAGAAATCGTCATCAGATTCGATAATTCAAAGTTCATTGAAACTCTGTTCACATTCAAATGGAGCTTGAACTCCTCATTAGGGATCCTCTCCAGAAGTTCCAAGTTAAATCAACACACGGATCAACATGTGTACACAAAACCTGCTCTTTTTCCTTTTCCGGCTGCTATGACAAATTCCCTGACAAAGGCACCTTGCGGGAGGAGGGCTTTATTTGGACTCATGGTACAAGAGATTTAGTACACTAGACAGTGTTTATGGCTTTGGTGGATGGCTGGGGCTTCTCACATCCCAGTGTCAGAGAAGCAGCTGAGCGTGGGACCTGGAGGAGGGCTGGGATATAGGCCTCAAGGCCAGCTTGTGGCTCACTCCTGGCGGCGTGCATCCCTGAGTCCCCAGAGTTCCACAGCTTCCCAAACAGCACCACTGGTAGGTTAACAAGTGTTCAGACACATGAGCCAATGGGGGTATGCCATATTCAAACTGTAATGTCTGCTCTGGGGCTAAGAACTGTTCAAGGGGGAAGTGGTTCCTAGGCAATATGTCCATGGCGCCACACCAAGCTCTAGGCAACCAGCTAGGGAAGGAAGATGACCCTGACCCATCAAGGGAGAGTGAATGTCTTTATCCTAGAGGAATAGAAAATGGACCCAAGTGGAGGGAGGAAAGATAACCAAACAGCTGAGCGGGTCTATGGGGTTATCTGGTTTTGTTGGTTCCTATCTTTTGTGGTTGTTGTTGGTTTGTTTCTGCCCAGGAACTATTTTTCTATCTTTAAGTGACAGAATTCCTGCATCGGTTTGAAAAACTTGCCTCTTCTAGTGAAGGAGCTGCTCTCTCAAAGGCTGACCAGTTTAGTTCTCTTCCTCTGGATCTCTCAAAATCCAAAGAAGGAAAACTGGTTATGGTGGCTTCCGTTGCACAGAAGTGCTTTGCCGTCTCAGCTCCTTCGTGCCTCAGCTCTCGGATCCGGCTGCTTCATAAACTGGTTTCTATAGGTTTCCCGTAAGAGTGAGTCATCCAGTGTCTTCCCAGTATCCCCTTCCTCCTGCAGTGGGAGAAAACCCCGAGCCACTCAGCCCCGGAACACTGAATTGCCTCACAGTTTGCACAAAAAAAGAGGTTTGTAAAAACCAAGAGGGTGACAAGACTCAACCCTATGAGGCTGCTTCCTGGGGGGCAGGGTGTGAAAGGCCTGCCAGCTTCTTTCCTAGGCTGCCTTGTAGCTGCAGCTAGGTTTTGTCAAAGGCTGCTCCTGGGAAAGACTAGAAGAATGGGAGAAGCGGGGAGCTGTGCGTAAAAACTGGGGCGAAGAGTTCATGGAGAGGAATGCCAACTGCTTACAGCTCCCCTGAGCGTGCAAACTCCAGCTTAGACGCTAGCAGCTGCACTGTTACATGGCAGCAGCAACCACAGAAAGGCAAGCAGACAGTCCTATGTTGAAAGCCAGCTCCAGTATCTACTTACACGGTTATCTCTGGCAAGAAATTTAGCTAAGCCTCAGTTTCCCTCACAGGGCCATTGTGTAGATGAAGTGTCATAAAGTTGTGCACACCATGATATGGAAAGTGCCTGGCGTTCAGTGAATGTTCTAGGCATTTTAGCTTTCTGTATTACCCTCATTTGGTACTCGCCAGAGCATAGTTTGGATTTATGAACACTGATTCCGGAGATTTCATGTCAGCAAATCTTATCCTATGAACTAAGATGCAATAAAACAACAACAGCGGAAACCTAGGCCACAGTAGGAGTGGATTCTCTGAGAAAGTCAACTACAGGGTAAATTAAGACGTGTATTTGGTAGGAAATGCTGAATGAAGTTTCTAGAAAGTCTATTTCTCAGAAGAGAAATGTGATGATGCTGAGACAAAATCTTCACTTTGGGAAAACCTAATTCAGATGTGAGGAGTCACACGCAGAAAAAAAAGTATGGCCATGTGTAAGATGGAAAATATATACATGTTTGGAAGAAAGACGCTCACGGGAGCTCTTTACCACAACCATGGCCTTAGCCAGGAAGCTAGAGTGGGTTTTTTATGTATTTGGGCAGAAACTTCATATTCCCTAAGGCTTTGTATGAGTTGTAACAGATGTTAGGAGAGAAAACACACACAATCACATCTCCTTTCAGAGCACAGACACTAGAAAGAGGCGTTTGGAGTCCAAAGGAAATAAACAGAAATGGGAGAGAGGCCTGCTTAACGTCATTGTGCAAAAAGCTGCTGTTTCTAGGTTTGTTGACCACACAGTACCAGTCAGGGGTGATGCTTTAAGGCCCTCACCTCTGGCCAAATGAGAATACACAAGGCTCTGTGTATCCTAAGTCACAGGCATCTGCAAGGGTTCCTGTACTTGGGAGGGAGCTCTCCGCCGAAGGTTCCAGCTCTTGTCTTCCGGGCTGGGCTGGGCTGGGGCGGCTTCTCATGCCTCTAAGAGGAGTCCCAGGAAAGAGGCAGGTCAGCGTGAACCCTTGACTCTGTCTAGTGAGGGAACCCCTAAGGAGAGCGCACCACCCTTTGATTACAGCCACTTATATTTCAATGTAGTAATCAATATAAGGGTACTTGATTTCACATCTTTCCTTCAATATATTTTCATTGTAATTTGAATTATTGTAACAACTAATTATCAAAAAAGACCCCACTTTTGACAAATGTGCATAAAATGAAGAATGTTTGCTGTTCTCTCTTGCCTAGCAAAGGGTAGACCTTGGCCTAGAAAGTCAAACATATTCTCTCTCTGCATCTCTGTCTCTCTCTGCCTCTGTCTCTCCCTCCATCTCTCCCTCCCTCTCAGGATCTTGTTATGCAGCTAACACTGGCTTTGAACTGACAGTCTACTGCCTCTGCTATCTGAATACTCCAGGCAGGGGCCACAGCTCCTGACTTGAAAGTAAGTCTCTGGATAGCCAGGCCAATACTCCTCCCCTTTCTCCAAAGAAAATAACAGCGAGAATAAAAAGTGTGAAAACGCAGGGTTCTACACAGATCTGAGAAGCGGTCTCTGTTCTTTCTTAAAAGTAAGATGTAGTAAGTGCTCTAAGTGTCCTCAAGCATAGCAAAAGAATTTAAAGCAAATGTTTTCATCTTAGACAAATGGCCATGAAATATTATCATGAAAATACTTGTTTGGGGATAACATGAAAACTAAGCGTGGTAGTTAAGAGAATGAATGCGTAGACACAGCCCTGCCATTTTATGTGAGAAATCGGCCTTTGATAGTGGTTGCGACAATTGTCCCGATCACTAGTGAAAATCGAACAGTTTCACTGAAATATAATTTATGTGCACATGATTTGTCCATGTAAAAACATACAGGTCAATATTTTAAAACATGTTCAGTTGTACAGCCATCACCACCATCAGTCTTATGTTTTCATGATCTCAAGTGAAATTCCACACCATGTCCTGTCACTCCTGTTCCTTCCTTATCCCAGCCCAGACCGTGATCACCACTCATCTGTCTCTGCAGGCCTAAGGCTTTGCAGATTCTGGGTCTTTCATATAAGTGGAATTAGATGACACACCATACATAGCCTTCACTTAACATGTTTTCTGGGTTATTCGTGCTATAATACATACCAGAACTTTATTTCTTTATATTGTCAAATAATATTCTAGTCAATGGACTTTCACATCTTCCCTCCTGCTGTTACGAATGGTGCTCATATACATATACATATATATATATATACACATACACAAACACACATACTTTTACAAATACATATCTTTATTTTTCTCTACTGTGTACTTAGGAATGCAGTTCCAGCTCTCTATGGAAGTATAAATAAATATATCCATTATGGGTAACAGTATGGAGATTCATTGAAAAAATGGAGTCAGTCATGGTGGTGCATGCCTGTAACCCCAGCACTCGGGAGACAGAGGCAGCTTGATCACTGTAGGTTCAAGGCCAGCATGGGCAACACATCACATTCTACGGCAGTGAGGGTCATATAATGAGAGTCTGCTTAGACACAAATGTTTCCATGGAAGCTGAGGACCCGAGGTAGGAACCATATCTGATTCTGGGTTAGACCAGAGGCACATGGGAAGTCCCACGACTGCAGCAAATCCAAAGATTCTCACTTTCCACACCCTTTCTAACACCTATTACTACAGCTTCTCTGGTTTTAAGAAAAATATCCTAGTTTGCATTAGGTGGTTTTGATTCACAGTTCCTGATGGATGGTGATGCTGAATCCTTATGTATTTAGTGACCATTTCTATGTTTTCCTTGCGAAATTGTCGTGTGTGTGTGTGTGTGTGTGTGTGTGTGTGTGTGTGTGTGTGTGTGTAGCTGAAGCTCACAATCAGCTGCCTTCCTCTGTATTTCTGTACCTTACCTCCTGAGAAACTGTCTCTCAGTGTATGTAGAAATCACTATTTGGGCTCCATTGGCTGACCAACAAGTTCTGGGATTCCCTGCCTCTGCCTCCCACTGCTAGGGTTACAGTATTTGTCACCACACCCAACTTTCCACCGGTACTTGAGGTCTGAACACTTGCTTGTGTACTAGGTCTTTTACCCTTGGATCAACTCCTCAGTTTCAGGAAACTGTATTTTATGGAGTATATTTTGCTGGACATAAATTTCTTGCTTACCAATTTGCTTACTTTTCATACTTTCCAGAATGCTCTCCAGTTGCCTTCTGGGGGCTACTGTTTCTGATCTTAAAACTATTGGTCGCCCACTACATGTGAACGGGTTTTCTCTTATGCTTTCCAACATTCGCTCTTTGCCTTGGCTTTTGAAAGTTTTTGCTGATGTATTGTGTGTATTTGGCATTTATCTCACTTGGACATACAGATTTTCATGAAATCTGGAGAATCTTTGACCAATAATTCTTCGAATATTCCCCTTTGCTCTTTAGACTGCTGTCACTATAATTAATATTTGTATATGTAGTGGTGCCCCATACAGCCTATGCCGCTGCCATT